ACCTAGGTAATTAGTACATATACGTATAGATAACCTATAGTAGAAAATTTAGAGAAAGAAAGGAACGAACTCACAAAAAGCTCCCGCCGCAATACCACTCAATATAGGTATAGGTAGGTAGGTAAGTAGGTAGGTAGTACCTAGGTATTCCGTACACTCCAAAGGAACACGGCGGAGATGATCTTCCGATATTTGACTGCCTACTTTGTCTTAGGTACGTACGTATACGTAGAGTACCTAGGTACACTACACTAAGTAGATGACAGTACTTAGCGTACGGACTAGGTAGGTAACATCTGTATGTAACTTCACCCTATCAGCTACCTACCTATTCCGTAGACGTAGGTACTACCTAGGTACCAGGTATGTACTGTACGGAATCAGAAGGTTTCCGTCGGGTCGACTTAAGGTAGGTAGGTACCTTAGGTACTTATACCTACAGTAGGTAGCGGACTGGACCTTTTTTTACCCCACTAATAATAAAAGAGGTACCTACAGTTAGATACGGAGTCCATGCCCAGACAGAATAAGGCTTAGGTAATATGTACGTCCGTCCTTTTGCAGGATAAGGATTGGATGGAGGTCATTGTTTCTACTGCACTTACCACTTGAAGCTAGTGACAATTAACAGTAAACAGACTAACCTACTTAGGTAGTAGTACCAGGTCTTTACCTGACCTAACCTAAACCGAAGGACGAAGTAACGAAGTACATCTCGGTACTTCTCATCTTGACACCTGCTCAAAACAAATACCTACCCTAATAGTTTATAGACTCAAAAGTTCAATTCCATCTGCTATTCTCACCACATTCGCGCTCTTCTTGTCCTGTCTCAACCTGTGGTGCGCACACAGTTGACACGTTCCCCTTGTGCTGTGCGGAGCTGTCGGCGACCGCAGCCATGGTAGACGCCCCTCAGGTGTTCCCTTTCCAAGCCCAATCCAGGTGACATGGTACTGTGTCCCGTCTGTTACAAGCGAAAGAAAGAAAGAGAACCGAGTAGTTCAGAGCAGCAATAGCTGCATAGGTCGCTATGTCGTGGGATCTACTCCGGCGATTTATTGAGAGTGATGTTTTCAACCAGAACCCTTTTCTCTCCGTGTCATATTTATCGTGAGTCGACGGCGCCCTCACAATGCTTCAGCAACGAGTTCTAACTTGCCCCTGTGTAAATTTGCAGCCGATATGCAGACCATGTCGGTATCCACTACGTGCTATGCTCCAAGCTTCGCCAATTCCCCTACGAGGACATCGAATTCTTCCTGCCTCAGCTATGCCACCTGATAATAAGTATCGACAATGAGTCCATGGCTCTGGAAGAGTTCCTGTTGGACTTGTGTGAGGAGTCTGTTAGTGCCGCACTTCTGGTCAGTCGCTTGTCCGCCCACCTGTGGCCGATGATCAATTGCTAAGCCACAACTTAGACGTTCTGGATTTTTCAAACATATTTACACGACCTCTCTTCGACACCGCAAGCACAAGCCTTCAAGACCTGCCGGAGAGTGTATAACAAGGTGCAACACCTCGTGTTCGGACTGCCCGATACCGCGAGACATGAGAAGATTAAGGAGAACGTTCTACCTGTTGCTGTATTAGCGAGCTTTGTCTTAGCCAGCGTCGGACTTCCCAGCATGTCACAATGGGCCGGCCCGCTTGCTGTTGCGCAAGCACGGAAATCTCAGTCGAATAGTGACGCCATCTCTGACTTGAACCAAGCACAGCCCAGGGTCGCGAGGAGTCAAACAGTGAATGTATCGTCGACAAGGTCGCGACGCCAGCGAGATGGGGTTAGTGGCGGAACCTCCCAAGACGCGAGTGTTGTCGCAGACGAAATTACCATTCAAAGTCCTGCCTCAACATCGTCTCATCCCGAAGCCAATACGACCCATGCAGCCACACGGCCCGAGTTTACGGAAACAAAGCTACTAGAGGCTCGTTTAAGTTCCTCATCCCTTCCCTTGCCCGAAATGCGGTCTTCCAGAACCGTCCCCCGCCCTGCGACACCACTTTCCGCCAGGCTGCCACCAACAGAAGCTATACCTCCTCGCAGATACTCTCATTTTATAAAATCTGTTCATGGTCTTGCTGAGATGAGCGCAGATCAGAAAAGTAGCTTGCTTCGACAGAATTATTTCCGATCACAGACAATGTTTCTGTCGGCACTCGAGAATATATCCAATAGGCTTGTTAATGTACCTAAAGCAGCTCGTCTCAGCGCTCTGCGCGCTGAACTTGCACTTATTGCCAGAGACTTGCCTGCGGAATTGGATATCCCGGTTCTGTGTCCACCAAATCTTGTCGACGGCTCCCCTTCAAAGAGCCGACATCATCGGATAGTTAGGGTCAATCCCGCCGAAGCCACGGTGTTAAACAGTGCAGAGAAGGTTCCTTTTTTGCTTATGATTGAGATTCTTCGAGATGACTTTACCTTCGACCCCAATTCTGTGGATAACCAACGCTTACTCAGCTCTCTCATTTCAGAGCCAAACAGCCGCAAACGACTATTCGATTTATCAGACGCTCACCGAAGTCCTGCTAGTGGACGGTCAACCTCATTGGATAACGAGAATATTGACAGCGTGTTCGAGCCAACATCTGGAGATTTAGGGAGTTCACCTATGCTCAAAGCCTTTGATGACGATGCTCATGACAAGAAAATTGGAAAGGTGACCGCCCGCAGGTCTGTGCCAAATGGCTTCACGAATCCGACTTTAGATTCCACACCGGGGGATTCTGTCGCATCCCCCTCTAGGTCCAGTAGCGCCGGATCGTTTCAAAAAATAGGATTCACAGGCCAGCGCAACACTACCCATGAACAGCCAGATTTTTCTGCATTAGCAACACACATGCGCACAGCCTCACAAATGCTAGCGCAATTAGACGCAACGAGTGGAAGACGACCCAAGCATGAGGTGGCGGCAATTCGTTCGAAGATCATTGCCAGCATGCAGACTCTTGAGGAACAAAGTTTCGACCTCGATGACGGCCAAGGGCCTACTTTCGACATGATTATTGCCAAAGCAAGTGCAACATCAGCCCCTGAGGGTGATCTCGAAGATGAATTTGCCGCCGGCAACAATCCGACGGCTGGAGCTGCCAGGATGGAAAACGATGCCATGACGGGAGGCGTTCAGAAAAAGGGTGACCGCGACGATCCGAGCGCCGCTGTTTTTGGTGAGGCTTGGCACGTCAAGAAAGAGCGCATCCGCAAGAGTTCACCGTATGGTTGGATGAAGACCTGGGACCTCGTCAGTGTCATCGTGAAAACTGGATCTGATCTCCGGCAAGAAGCGTTTGCATGCCAACTAATCCAGGTATGCCACAAGATTTGGGTCGACGCAGGTGTGCCTGTGTGGGTAAAACTCATGCAAATCCTGGTCACTGGTGAGTCCTCTGGGCTGATTGAGACGATCACTAATGGTGTCTCTTTACACTCATTGAAACGGAGCTTGACATTATCGTCGATTGACTCCGGCGTGAATCCTCGCCGGCGCTTTGCAACCCTCAAAGATCATTGGTTGAAAACATTCGGTACATCTGACAGCGGCCCATATAAAAGTGCTGTGGATGCGTTCAAACGTTCGCTCGCCGCATACAGTATTATACAGTATATTTTACAATTGAAAGATCGTCACAACGGCAACGTGCTCATCGATAACGAAGGGCATATCATTCATATTGATTTTGGATTCATGCTTTCAAACTCCCCCGGATCGGTTGGGTTTGAAGCCGCCCCTTTCAAACTCACTCAGGAATATGTCGATGTACTAGGTGGTGTTGGTTCTCCAGATTTTGAGGATTTCAAGACACTATGCAAGCAAGCATTCCAAGGTAAGTCCCGCGGAACGGTCCTAGTGGTAGGCGCATGTAACTAATTCCAAAAAAGCACTTCGCCGTTCCGCGGACAATATAATTGACCTCGTCAGTATGATGGGAAGGGATTCGAAGATGCCATGCTTCTCGGCTGGTTCAGCGCAGACGACAGCAGCTTTACGACAACGTTTCCAATTACACTTAAGCGCCGATGAAGCTGAAAACTTCGTTGAGACCGACTTGATCTCCAAGTCACTCGGTAGCTACTACACACGACTGTGAGTCCCTTCAACCCATCGTCGGCTCATCATGCTAACGTCTTCTCAGTTATGACACCTTCCAATATCGCACTCAGGGTATATACTAAGCTAACAGTAACGACTTGTAGGTCATAAGATAGGAGTGATATGGCCATTTTGCGGCATCTGGGCGGCGTTGCGGGGAATAGAGTCAACAATTGGGATAATCTCGACAAACAATTTACTGGATCATGGTCAAATCGCATTGCCATCGTACACCTTGCGAGAAATTGAATTCTCTATGATTATACCGTCTGTCTATATCATACATAAGTATATATTTCTTGTCGAACCAGGTTTACATCCGCCAGGACTCTGAGCCATGACTCTGAGCTACTCATCAAACTCTCATTGGCAGCCTCTATGAAACTCCATCGGATTTCTTGATCCCTATAGGTTCTGGTGATCCTTTACTTCTATCGACTGCAGCGGCAGTAGTAATGATCTGTCGCCACCATATCTGGCTCCTGAGTCGACGGTAATGACAATCACCTACGGAAGCGAATATATATTGTATAATGCGCATACAATTCAAACCGGCATGGCTCTGGCTAGCATTGGCTATCTACATGGACTTCTAGAGCTCTCCCTTCTCACATAGCCGTACAATTGGTTTCAAGTAAAGGAGGGCACATTGTACTGTATAATCTGCCTCACAGCCGTGACTACGTACCTACATACCCAGTGTACATCAGACCCGACCAGAAACCAATCCTCCCTCGTTTCCACTTGTGTGGTTCGTTTTTGTCACCGCGATCTGAGTGCAAGACAACCAACGAAGACACATACTTATAACATGAAGAAAACTCAGACAAAAAAGAGCACAAAAAGAATATTATGATTAAATGCTACCTAACTATTCCTAGCAGGTATTACTTATGCCATCATGGCCCAGTGCGGGGATCGAACCTATTCAAAGTCAGTCAGCTCGTCAGTTCACCTTACCTAGGTACGTATAGTTTACTCACCCACATCCATGATGACAACAGGTGGCATTTTGAGTCTCACGCTCTACCAATTGAGCTAACCGGACGACCTGTTGCTGTTTCTTACTAGGAGGATTCTTATCTATGTACCTGGGTAGGCAGGTAGGAGTGTAGATGCATTGATGATGGTGAGGTTGGGGACGATGACTCATACCGAGGGGGGTGCGTGGTCCGTACGTAGTGCAGTGTACAATACGGATTACACTATCTAGAGAAGCTGCCTCGATATGGGCAGAATTGAGCCAATCCGATCAGCAGACGGGGGGTGGTTTGTGAATATGGTGGCGGTGCGATGATAGATATTATATACACCCTACCTATCCCATCAATTACCTAGACGAAGTTAAAGAAAACAAAGCGTCAGTGTTGCATACTTTGCCTTGGCTTAATTGGTTTGAAAAAAAAGAAACAATATATGTATTTCAATGCACTGCGAGTTTCTATGCAGTATTACTAGCTGCAAAATTTGGGTGAATCCGATGACAATCAAGTACGTGTATGTATTGAATCGTCAGGTCCCCATCCTGCCGAGTCTATACATATACTAGACCAGGCGAGTACTGTACTTCCTTCACACCTCTTCGTTGGCTTACTCATGCAACCACCAGGGTTTGTCTCCATCCTTGCTGTTACCTAGATCCGTTTAAGCGGTATGGTTGGAACCGAGTGTATGGACGGGGATAGGGCCTCCGGTCTCTGCGCCGCGGCAGGTTGGAGCCGGCAGCAGAGTGATGAGAGTTCGGCGACTGAACCCTCAATTCCGGCTCTTGTCTGTTGAGCGGAGTGTATGGGCGAGGACCGAGACTCGGGTCTTCGAACTGCAGCACGTCGGAGTCGGCAAAAGAGTGAGGCGAATTCGCTGGCTGAACACTAGATCTCGACTCTTGCCCGTCGACCAGAGTGTCAGGGGAAGAATTGGTACTCCAGTCTAGGCGCTGCGACTGGTCTGAATTGGCAGAAGAGTGCTGAGAATTCGTGGACTGCGCGCCGTGGCTCGACTCTCGATCGCCACCGCATGAAACTATACACGAAGCCTCACAGGAAATCCTATAAAGAGACTGCACGGCCTCCTCGGGTGTCTCGAAGAATAGCGACTCCAGCAGGGTTTTTTGTACTACTCCATGGCAGCGCACTACCTGGGCTTGGTAGAAATACTTTTCGGGATCCTTGAGAGTGATCACGCGGATCGCCTCAGGCGCCTCTGCCAGAAACTGGCAGTTCGCTAGAAATATCGAGTCAGGATGATCCCAGGCTACTTATATTATACGGAGTGGGGGATACTGACCTTTGATTTGAGTGACGAGATCGAGAGCTACATTTGGGTTGGATGGCGATGGGGACCTCATGGTGTTATTGTAGATAGTGAGGATGATTATGGACTGGGCCTTTTTTATACAACTGACTGGGATACTCTATGAAGAGGACAGTTATCGTATACGAAATGTGCTTGGATGAAAAAAAGAAAAAGGGAATTGCTTCAGTCGTGGCGGGAGGTCGGCCTCTTATACTTTGAAATCTACCTGGGTATATATACCTACCTATATATATAGCATAGCAGGGACAAATCGGCCTCAAAGACGTATTCGTACCTGCCTACCTGCCTACCTTCCACCCTTCCTATGCATATGCGTTTAAACTAGCATGAGAAGGTGAGAGGACACGGCAGACTCTTTACGGAGCATAATTTCGATCCCCGTAAAAAGATGCAAGAAAACACCTTTCAGAGCCAACGAAATCCAAGTTTAGATAGAATCACTTTGCCCGAACCCTCACTTCTCTTCCATTGTTGAGAGACAAATTGACTCACAAAAAGACGGATAACGCTCAAGAAAGAATTGGTAGCTTGCAGAATGTATAATAAAGTCTGGTGACTGATGACGTACTTCATGCCGACGCTCTCCTCTCCGCCATCAGTCAGAATTAGATTTCGGCAGAGAAGGAGTTTATTTAAAATTTACAACTATGACAATGGGCATGCTACGTGTGCACTAGTCGCCGGATGTGAACAAGAGCAAAAGACTGCAGAACAGGGTAAGATGCCCTAAAACCGGTTTCAACAAGATTCTAACAGCCGTCGAGCGTCATATAACCTTTTACTCTTTTACCTCAGGGGATATGCACTTCGACCAGGCATGTAGCAGACGCGTACGGTAGAGAAGTAAGAAAATATCTTCGAACCCTACAAATCCATGATAATTCAAGTTATTGTTGTATAGTCTTAGGATGCTACATTGAACCGACGGCAGATCATATCGACCTGGTGTGTTTCTAGTGTTTTCTACCCAACAACAGACAAGCGTTCCAGTCGAGACTTGACGGCTTCGACCAACGCCGTCTCTCGTTCCAGAAGACTCTTGACTTGACTGATTTTTGCACGCCTGAGCTCCGATGGAATACGTAGATCGCTCCTAGACAGTCTCAAGTCCTCCTCTTCTTCCCCAGCCGGCGCTTCTAATGCCTGGGCATTAGAAGCAAGTTCTTTTTTCAGCTCAATGATTTTCTGGTACCTGTCCATGTTCTGTTTGGCCCGATTCGACCCATCTGCTGCTTGCGCTGATCCACGCATACCCGCATCCAATGCCTTGACCTCCTTGACCCAATCCTGCTCTTTCTTGCTGAGTTCCCGACTAGTGGCCTTGTTGACCATCTTTCTCATCTTCTCCAAACGACGACTGAGAGTTTCCCCTTTCTCCTTGGCATTTTGCAGACGTCTCTCGATGTCAGCGTTCGTTGACTCTGGTTCCACGCCCTCACTCTGATCCTCGCCAGTAATAGCCTCAACCCTTGTCTTGATCTCATTGGCTTTCGTAATTTGCTGCTCCAATTCATCTTGAAGCTTGAGGCAACGCCGAAATACCTCTGAGGCAGCGACGCCGAGTCTATACGTCTCGTCGCTCAGAAGCTTATGAGCCTCCGTAAATAGCTGTAAGGTAAGTGGTGAAAGGCGAACTTCTTGGTTCATATTAGTTTTATAGCGACTAGTGCGTAAATTCTCGATGAATGTAGGAAGATCCGAACTTTCTTCGAATGCATGAGACGGCTGGTAAACAGGGCGGGGCTCGAAAAATTCGAGCGGCCGAATCTCAGCATCGTGGCTCGCGAGTGGCGAGTTATACTGCGTAGGTATAAATTCGTCTTCGGGAGTATCGAACATCAGAGCAATCGGCTCATATGGCGAGGAAGATAGCAAAAGATACCCAAGGTCAGGGTCTCGGATCGCAACCGCTGCACTTAAAGGTAACCGTGTGACATCAAGGGTCGGACTGTTATAGAGACGTTCTCTTGTCGAAGCTTGTCCATTGGCAAGAAGAGTAATCCTGAAATCAGAGCCTGCTTCTGAATCACCTTGGAGCTCGCTCTCAAGGCGGAAAACCCAGGGTGACAGAGAGACATACGTTATATTGCTAGTGTGGGTGATGAAAAATGAATACCGAGATGTGATATCGGGGCTGAAAACTGGCCTGGCGTCGTCTGTCATCTCCGTGGCATCGAGCGTGTCAAGAGTTGAGAACGTCAGTAGGGACGGCGAACCAACCAGGCGCCCCATCGTCTTCGACTTGTTTCGAGGTGGCAGCCACTGGGCTTGGGTACCCTCTATATCTAAACAGATTTGGACCCGGCCCCTAGAGGAGAGAAGGCAAACAACTGTGAGTGAAAGACCTTCTTTTTCGGTGTCCTCAATCTCCAGTTCTTCCTCCTCGCCAAACATTAGCTCATTAGTATCAAGCTTCTCACCAATGACATGGATGTCTGTCAAATCAAGGTCTAGCTCATCCTCGGTTTGTGGGCCCAGATCTAGGCTGAATGGTCCTTGCAAGCGCGGTATCACACCAGGTCGTGAAGGTCTCGTATATATTTCAGTAGCTGGCTCTCCGGGTGGGCCGTCAATAACCCGAGGTTCTTGATTGTCAAGATCGGACATCCAATCTAGTTGTTGCTGTGCTAATAATTTGGCCTGCTCGGACACATTTGGGTCATCCTCAATTGCTGCCAGATTGCCCACTATGGATATAGAGAGCGACGGAATCAAGGTCGGAGGGGGCGACCATTGACTTGGTAGTAAGGGACATAGGGCGTATACGTCCCCTTCTCTCATGGCGATCCACAGGGTCATAGAAGACCAACCTCCGGATCCTCTAGCCCCAAAAGACGCTGCCGCCACCTCCATCTCGATGGAGTCGGGCGAAAAGCCTTTGTTTCCGACCTCATTGGCGGAAAAGTTTTGATCTAATGATGTACCATCAGCAAGCTTCTGTAGATCGATCGCTAGAGTGGGTGAGTCAAACGACCATCGATCTTTCTGCGATAGCTCCCACAGTCTCACTACAGCATCCTTTGTGACTGTTACAAGAGTGCAGCCATTAACGCCGAGAGGATGCCACAGGGCAGAGGCGATAGGCGAGCGGTCATCAGCGTGGACGGTAGGACCAAGGGACCAAGACTTCGGTTTAATCGCATCAAGACTTGGTGCGGTAAGGTGGGAGGGATCGGGGAGCAGAATGATTCGGATGGTATTAGCAGTCAAAACAGCCATGAAATTAGCATAGGGAGATATGATGAGCTGCTGGATGTCGCTGCCGAGCGCCGGAGGTTTGATTGTCTGCGAATTGAGTTAGTCAAGGCTGGCACACCGGTACAGGGCTGTATAAGGATATGCTGACCCGAAAGCCTTCTGCGCAGCCTGTTTCGATTGACTGTTTGATGATTTCACTGTCGTCCACTTCATCGTCACCCTCGCGTTTTATGTGAGTACCTCCAGTCCGAGCTGCATTCTCTTGCCATCGCTCCTTAAGGTAGACTAAATCAGCCCATCGGATCTCCTTCCCTACTGCGATAAATACCTCGCTCCCTCTTATAGCGAGAATGCGGCGAGGGCTAGTAGTAGAGTCGGCTATGGAAGCATGGTAAGACGTGCTTTGGCCATTAAGTGGATGGGGTGTGAAGAGTTGATGGCCTGGCGAAGGACTGGAAAGCCAGGCCGGGGTATAGGCTTTAATCTTTGGCATTTTTGAATGCGATGGGACGGAATAGGGCGGGCAAGCGGTAT